TAAATCCTAATCTTAAATCCCACGTTGGGGAACCCCATCCGCGCCCAACGCGAATGAACATGGTTTCTGATTCTACTAGAACATGAAACAAAGCGGTGGGCTCCCTGGTGGCCTAAAGCCACCACCCACTCTCATGACGAAGGCTATGGTTTATAAACAGCTTCTAGAAATACAGACAGGTGTCAAGATGTGAGGATTAAAGGCTTGTCAGCAAACACTTAACATGTTGTGTTCCTTGATGTTGTTCTAAGGGAGTGTGTGCAAGTAGGCGTTTGCATAGGATGCCGAACACCGTTCTCAGGCCGGGCTTGGCTCTGACTCATGTCAACGCACCCTGGGGTTCTGGTTGAGGTCAGGATTTGGGGCTTAGGGCGGTTTAAGGAGTTTAGGGTTTAGGGTTGGGCGGTTCTCCCTTATACTAACAGTCCTTCATAGGGAATGTAGTACCCCCTGTTATAACTCCCAAAAGGACTGATAGTAAAAGGGGGTACATCCCAAGTCTAGGGTTCAGTGCTTCAAGAAGCTCAGGTGCTTTGCCGGATTCGCCAAAAGTCGGAGTGGAGGCCCTAAACCCTAAACCCTAAGCCCTCAGCCCTAAACCCTAAACCCTAAGCCCTAAACCCTCCAGTGGAAGCCCGGGTCGCTGGCTTCTTCTGCAAATGGTTTTGGGTTTGCGGTTTCGGCTGCGGGTTTAGGGCGCACGAAGCGCTGGGCTTAAGATGCTGAATCCCATGTTGCCGGCTTCATCAGCTTACTAACTGTCAGACTAAATCCGCAAGGTTCGACCCTGAGCCCGAATCTTAGGGTAGTTCCATGGTCCCTTCATATGGGCGCTCAAATGGGGAACCCCTATATACCCTATAAAACACACAGGCCCGTACTTTAAGAACCCTTGAATTACAGAAGGCAAGGAACCATATCGAGGGACCCGAATGAAAATGGCTAGTTCAAAGCTCGAAGCCCGATTACCCCAAAGCCCTAAACCCCAAGACCTGACAACCTTACAAAGCCCAAAAACCCAAAAAACTGAACCCAAAAGCCTCAAAATCGAAACCCCCAACCCAACCCACACACACACACACACACACACACACACAAACAAAATAAGAAAATTAAAAAGCCAACCCATAGGCCCTAGGAAAGCAGCCTGCAGCCTGCCCTGAGCTCTTAAGGTGCAGAGATTGGGGTAGGGCCTCGTTCAGGGTTTAGGGTTTAGGGTCGAGGGTTTAGGGTTTTGGGTTTAGGGTTTTGGGTTTAGGGTTTGGGGTTTCGGAGTTTTAGGGCTTTAGGGTTTTAAGGTGTTGGGTTTTGGGGTTTGGTGCGAATTTGGGGTTTCATGGGGCCCATGGTTCAGGGCTTGCCAAAGTGTAGGGTTTGGAGTCTCTGCAGAAGATTTTCCGGCTTTACAGGGGATAACCTCTAAACCACCTAAACCCTAACCCTGAACCCTGAACCCGCTGTAGGAGGCTTCAATTTCAGCCTTCATCGCCCTCAACCCAAAGGACCTTCACAGGTGAGTTGCTGGTGCTTAGTGAGGAATGAGGGAAGTTAGCACCGAATATCCATCCTGAAAAAGCAATCCTATACTAGGACACTCAACCCTAGACCCTAAACCCTAAACCCTAAACTACTAAACCCTAAACCCTAAACCCTAAACCCTAAACCCTAAACCCTAAACCCTAAACCCTAAACCCTAAACCCTAAACCCTAAACCCTAAACCCTAAACCCTAAACCCTAAACCCTAAACCCTGAACTACTAAAACCTACACCCTAGACCGTTTCCCCCCTGAAAATAGGGAGCACTCCCAAAGGCCCTGGCAGCTTCGCAGTTCGGCGCCGGGGCCGTGGAAAGGCACTTCCTTAGGCTGAAAGAGGAGAAAACGTTAGGGTTTAGGGTTTAGGGTTTAGGGTTTAGGGTTTAGGGTTTAGGGTTTAAAGGTTTAGGGTTTAGGGTTTAGGGTCTGGGGTTTGGGGTTGAGGGTTTCGGGGTTAGGGGTTAGGGGGTTTAAGGTTTACGGTTTAGGCTGAGGGGTTTAGGGCTTGGGGGTCTTGTATCCAATATGCTTCCTTACGTCACAGAGCTTGCCTATGAAGATTCGAATTTTCCGAGAGGAAATTTAGGTTTACGTTGGGGAACGTCTTCGGCCGGATGGCCTTCTTATTGTTTTGCTTCTCTACGCCAGATTGCCAAGGCTGCAATGCAAAAAATCTTCTGCTATGAAAATGGGCTATAAAGATCATGTATAGAAGCTTCCGAAAAAAATTGGATTTTGCGGACCCGTGTCCAGACAACAGTGCCAAGCGCCTCGAAGCCGAGGCGCTCAAGCAGCAGAGGGGTGTTGGTGAGTGATGATGTCTTTCTATTTACTTCGAGTTTCTACACCGTATACAGGATGTACATCATCTGTTCTGAGTAGAAGCTAATATAGAAGTTTCAAGGTGTATGCTCGCATCCCCATGCCTGCTCTGCTCGGGTCTTGATCCTAGCACTTTGGCACGTGTGGCTCGCCCGGGATGGACACACTGCAAGTTCAGGAACTGCGCAATGCTGGAGCAAATTTATTTGCAGTTTCGACACACCGTTGCAAACTGGCGTTGCAAGGAAGCGTCCAGTTGCAGGCGAGCTGTCATGGAAAGAAGTCGAATCGCATGAAATGTTGGTCGACGTGCCCACGCGCAGACCAGAATATGAGCTGGGTATGTTGAGCATCCATTTAAGATAGAAGGCACGAGCACGAATCCTGCACACACCCATGCTATGCTGTGGTTCATGTTCGCCTGCGCAGCTTCTCAGAATGGCAGAGGGCTGATCACACTCATTTCGCGAATCGCGAGCCCTCTCATCGCTCCATACGGGCTTGCTTGGCTAAAGCTTCTTGTGATGAAGTGACGAATCTCGGGTGGCACACATGGATTTGTCATAACGAAAAATTAGCAGTCAGAAAAGTCATGTGCATCTTCACTAGCGGCTCTGCAATGTACTGCCCCGCTTTCCTGAAAGGGACACCGCTTTCTGCTGGTAGGCCGACAGATTGCAGCAGACTTGCGTGTAAAGTCGGTCGCAGATGCGTTAAGCTATGAAGACCGCCTTTGCACCCGACCACGGCCCTGGGAAATCTCAACAGAATCTCAGGCCGTTTTGGTTTAGAGGTCTAAGTTGACCTTGCTGATGGCGGCTTCTGCTATCAGGCAAGGTCGGTTGCCCTAAGCCCTAGATAGACCCTAAACCCTGAACCCTCCGAAACCTTAAACCCTAGGCCATCAGCCCCCCCCCCCCCCCCCCGAAGCCCGAAATCCTGTCCGAGGTGCTGGGAGATTTTGGTCTCACAAGGTCTCCGAACCGCAGCCCAAAACCCCTAAACCCTAAACCCTATTATAAACCCTAAACCCTAAACCCTAAACCCTAAAGACTAAACCCTAAACCCTAGACCCTAAACCCTAAACCCTAAACCCTAGACCCTAAACCCTAAACCCTAACCTTAAACTTTCCAGGGGAACCTTGAGGCCTGATGAAACATGTGGAGTTGCCGAGCCCGGGCAAAAAAAAAAAACAGGGAAGCCTTAACAAACGTATGGGGCCGTGAGATTTCTCACTCAGTGTAGGGTTGAAGGTTCAGGGTTTAGGGTTTGGGGTTTGGGGTTTAGGGTTTAGGGTTTGGGGTTTAGGGCTTTAGAAATCTTTAGGGTTCGGGGTTTTGCGCTGCAGGGTTCAGAGGCTCGCATCATGAACTGCATGCGATACGGGGTTCTCGCCTTCAACCGGGGGCATAGAGCCAATCCCGAAAATCCTAAACCCAAACCTTAAAGCCTAAACCCTGCACCCCAAACCCTAAACCCCAAGCCTTGAACCCTAAACCCTACACCTCAAAACCTAAACCCTAAACCCTAAACCCTAAACCTTGAACCCCAAACCCCAAACCCCAAACCCCAAACCCGAAACCCCAAACAGCAGACTCGACGGTCCAAGCCGAGGTGCGGAGGGCTGTTCCAGTGCGGACAGGCCTGCGATGAAGGCATTTGAAGGTTTAGGGTTTAGGGTTTAGGTTTGGGGTTTAGGGTTTGGGGTTTGGGGTTTGTTGTAGTTTGGGGTAGTTTGGGGTAGTTTGGGGTTTGGGGTTTAGGATTTCGGGGGTTCAGGGTTCACTAGGCTTTTTCTTACTGTTTTGGGTAGGTGTGTATGTAGCTCCTTGTAAATCTTGGTGAACGTATTTCTGGGGGCGTCCTTTTGAGCATGCAAGCAATGAAACCCCTTCTGCATGTAGGGGCCTACATGTATGAGATGCATTCACAGGGTTCTCATGGCAAATCACGTGCATTCGACATGTCTTTCGGCCCGCAAAGAAGAGTCCTTAGAGCCTTGACTGGAGGGTTTAGGGTTTAGGGTTTAGGGTTTAGGGTTTAGGGTTTGGGGTTTAGGGTTTAGGGTTTAGGGTTTAGGGTTTAGGGTTTGGGGTTTAGGGTTTAGGGTTTAGGGTTTAGGGCGAGAACTTCAGTACAGTAGTGGGTCGTTTTAGGGCCTGAAAGGCTGCCAACCCTAATCTCTAAACCCGAAACCCGAAACCGATTATGCAACCATCACCTGCCCCAGCCCCGGGACCCTGAAGCCTCCTGAGCCCTCAATCAAACCTATCACCTAAACCCTAAATCCTCAACCCCAAGTCCAAAACCCTAAACCCTAGCCCTAAACCCTAAACCCTAAACCCTAAACCCTAAACCCTAAACCCTAAACCCTAAACCCCAAACCCTAAACCCTAAATGCGTGAAGCATCCTGGCCGCTCAGGTGGAGACGTTGTTGCGTTACCGAGGCTGTCTTTTGTTCGAAAAAATCGAGGCGCGATCCGAGGGTCTAGGATTCAGACTTAGGCTGCCTAAGCTTTCTGGTCCCCGTAGGGTTCTGTATTTCACGTAGGTTATCAGCCGTAGTAGGTTCTAGGGCTGTGAGCTTTAAGATAGGCCTTTTCTTTAGGGTCCGGCACTTAGTGCGGGTGCTGTGACGCCATGGATTCCTTTACACGTCAGCGAAGGGGCTCTGGAGGAAGGGATATCGAGGTCCCTGCTGGAGCTTCTGAGCCAGATTATCAGGCAGCCTTGGGCCAAGAGGACAGCGAGCAACAGCCTGCACCTGTACGTCTAGGAGAAATGTCTCCGGGCATGTTGGAGCAGGGCGGGGTTCCGGCAGAGCCGGAGACGCCTGCCAACTTGTTTGTGGCAAGTCCTTTTCATTCTGAGAAGGTGAAATCAGAAGTGGAGCTTCTCAGATCGAGACCGGCGACGTTGGATGATGACGGAAGGCGTGCTGGAATCGATTACGATGAGGCAGCTCTTGGAGATTCGAGCTTTTTGAGTGGCGGCAGGGAACCGGACTATAGCTTAGCTGGCCATGGATCTCGTGGAGGAGCTCCTAAGCTGGCCCGAGTGGAGATAGCAGGCGAGCATGCTGTTGAGCAGTCTGGTGAAGCCGAGGAGCAAAAGCCTGGCATAGTTGAGGTGCAACCTGAGACTGGGCGAGGCTGGGAAATTACTGGCAAGGGTCGGGGTGCAAATCCGAGGGATGGATCCGCGAGCACTTTTGCTGGTGAGAAACCGGGAGCTTCAGACGCTCGAGAGCTCATTCCTGACTCTGGTTTTTCCAGGATGGAACAGATGATGTTGCAAGTGATGCAGGAGAATGCTGCTCTGCGGCAGAGACTGGAAGCGGTGGAGTCTCAGTCAAGCGGCCTGAGTGGAGGAACCTGTGTGACAGCGCTCGAAGCTCAGGTCAGTTCGCCGATGTCTTTCGCTGGGAATGTACAGAGTTGCGTGGCCGCGCCACGAGAGAATCGTCTTGTACAGATGCCGAGTGCGTTTCCGGGCAACGATTTCCAAGGTTCTGAATTGTCAAGGGGGTGGTTTGAGACTGCTAGGGTAGCTCAGCCTCCTGGCATGTGTCCGCCGCCTTGTGGAGCTTTGGTTGGGAGTCCCACCGAGCGGGGTGGGTCGGGTCAAGGTTTCGAGTTCTGTAGGGTTAGGCATGAAACTTCGGTGCCGTTTATGCCTGGGATTAGGTCACCACCCCCTAGGCCGCCCAGTGTACCCCTTCGGACTTTGGTTGAAAGGGATGAAGGGTGGGGATCAGGGACTCAGACTTTGGGACAGTTCGCTTCGTTTGCTTTGGCGTCAAGGGAGGGTCAGGGTGAGTCTGGCTATCATACACCAAGATCCGTAGGAGCTTCGGGGTTGGCTGGGTTCAGTTCTGATGGATATCCGCTGTCGCCGGGTGGTACTGTCATCCGACCTCCGCCAGGGCCTCCCCCAATGTCACCTCGAGGGGTTCAGGCTTATGGATCCGGGCACTTGGGAGCAAATGCTGCTGAATGTGGGGTGATGTCCGGGGGTTCCCGGGGTCCAGGATATTTGGCTGGCGTTGAGGATTTTGCGCGTGGGGAAAAGGGGATACCGAGTCAAGGCGTTCCAGGGTCTTCTCCCACTGTTGCAGAGGGGATCTCGTCCTTTAGCGCTCCTGGGGCATTTCCTGAGGAACCAGCGAAGTACATTATCGACCTGCCTAAGCTTGCTGCTGCTGACTTGACCACTAGCGCCGTAACATGTGGCAACTGGCTTGCGCAGACACGCCAGGTTTTCGCGGGGCTTTCGCCGTCAGCGTCTGTTTGGTTCAGCTCGGTTGAGGGCGTGGCTAATGCAAGCTATCAGCGTTGGCTTGTAGCAGATCCGTTGGAACGGCTAGCTCTCGATCCCTCCACGGTTGTTGCTCACTATGATGCCGTCAAGTACCAGCGCGTAGAAAGTAGGGCAGTATCGTTGCTGTTGTCGTGTGTCCCTCAGAGTTTCAAGGATGAGCTAGTTACTAACCGTTGGATGACAACTGCTTCCATACTGTATCGGATTCTTTGCGTTTACCAACCAGGGGGCAGCACGGAGAGGGCGTACCTCCTTTCGCGTCTTGTTCAGCCTGATCCATGCAAGTCATTTAAGGATGCGATTTCAGGTTTGAGGCGATGGCAACAGGATCTGATCAGGGCACGGGAGATACAAGCAACCCTCCCGGACCCCAGTCTACTTCTGAAAGGGATAGATGCTGCTACCAGCTCTCTTCTAGCTCTTCAGCCAATGGTGGCGTTCCGAGTTAGCGTGTTTAGGCATAAAAGCTCAATCGACTACAACCCGTCCGTAACGGGGGTTACGCAGCTAGTGAAACTCATTCAGGCTGAGTGCGAGTCTCTAGCCATGACTGTTGAGTCTCCTCCGGATAAAAAGGCCAGAGCTGCTGCTGCTGCTGCTGCCGCTGCGAAGGCCCCAGACCCCAAGCTTCCCAGCACATCTGCATCTTCTCAGACGCCGAGTCCCACTGTGGCAGCGGTATTTGGAGAGGCGGACGCTGGTAAAGGTAAGGGTAAGTCCTCGAAGGGTTCTGGTAGTACGGTTGAGTGTTTCAGGTTTGGTGACGGTACCGGGTGTCGCTTTGGGGATAGCTGTACTTTCAGGCACGATAGGGCTAAAGCTAGAAGGCAAAGTAGGTGCTTGGCTTGTGGTCAGAGCGGACACTACCGGCCGGACTGTCCGATTGTCCCAGCAGAGCTCAGACAGGTGCTGCCAGAGGGTGGATCGCCAAGTGCCAAGAGTCCTCCTAGCCCTAAGAAATCAGAGGCGAAGCCTAAGCCGAAGTCCCAGCCTCAAGCGAAGGGTATATCTGAGGATGCACCCTCTGGAAGTGCCGGTGCCAGGAATTCTGAAGCCTCTAGTGCTTCGGGCGCCAAGGAAGCCTTGTTTGCTGAAGCAGCCAAGCTTTTGCAAGGTGCAAGCGCAAAGGTTTTGAGGGTTGGCGAGTGGAACATAGATGAGACTTGGCTCTGTAGCGCTGTGAGTGCATCCAATCTTGAGTATGCCTTGATTGACTCTGGTGCCACAAACGCCTTAAGGTTTGCTTGTTCTGAGGAGCTTCGTGGGGCTGAGTCCATTCGGGTTGATCTGGCATCAGGTGTCACTGAATTGCACGTTAACGAGTATGGGACCTTGCTTAGCCCTGTTGATTGCCAGCTCATATTGCCTGCCGGGTACTTAGTCAGTATGGGTTACCGTATCTCTTGGGGGAAGAAGGGTTGTAGAATACGGCATCCCAAACTCGGAGAGCTTGAGGTGAGTGTGGTGAAGGGATGTCCTTTGGTACCTAGGGAACTTGGGATGCGGCTTCTGGATCAGTATGAAAGGTTTAGGGCAGGGTCTCGTTCGGTAAAGGGATTGACATGCTCTGAAGCTGGGGAACAGCTTAACGCGAAAGAAGTGAAGATGTGGTTAAGGGATCAACTGAAGCAGTCGGCTGCCGGGTTGCTAGATCGGGTTACTCAAGTGAGCCTTTTGAGGAGTGTGTTTCCTGGGATCTCGGATTGGGTGCTAGAGAGGACGGTAGTTGATCCGGAAGATCCCTTTGCGGGTTGCCAGGGTGTTGCTCCTTGGAATCGCAGGCTTAGGAGGAGTGTTGATCGGGATACGCAAGGGTCGGTACTTCTTCGTGTTGGGGCTGTAGGCGACAAGTGGAAGGGTCCTGGACGAGTAGTAGAGCTTCGGAGGGACTTCGGTAGTGATCTCGGGATTGCGCCGGTCTTCCTTCAGGTTCTAAAGTGGGCTCAGTCTGGTGTTCTTGGAGGAATTGTGGCTTCTACCGAAGAAAAGGGTTTCGAACTGGGAAGTAGTCTTTCGGACAGTGAAAAGGAAGCTGCGTTGAGAAAGCAGGTATCATGGTTCAGGTTATGCTTAGTGTATATGGTGGCGCAGGCAGCTGCTGAGAACACTGCTTGTGAAGTTACCGAGCCGCGTGAGCCTGCTGGTGAGGGCGAGTCAGGGTCCGGAGAGCCTCCTCAGGGTCTTGATGATCCTCATGAAATAGCCTTGTGGGCTTTACGGAGGGCCGCTGTCAAGCTTCAGATGTCGGCTGAGCCGGAGTTGAGTGACCTAAAAGGGGGGCCCCGAGCTGCAGAGAGTCCGCCTGTATGCAAAGGTGGTCAGACAGAGAGGGCTGTCTTCTTTGTCTTAGAGGGGTCCTTTGATGGGTTGACTAGGCCTGAAGAAGTGGAAGGGCTCCGTGAGGCATATGGGTTGTACCGGGTATCTTTTGATCAGGGATGTCTGGGAAATTTGGCGCGGGATTCCACTGTCCTTGTGACCTCTTCGTGGGATGTGTTCGAGAGCCTACATGCCCTGCGGGTTCCGGAACATATTCAAATGCCTGAGTCTTCGAGGATCAATGGGAGTCGGGTTTGGGCTCCAGGTTTGATTGGGTGTGTGAAAAATGCTTGGGAGAAGTGCCGACGTAGTAGGCTTGAAGTTGGGGACCTGAGTGAGCGCCGAGCTTTGTTGGCGAAGCTAACCGAAGAGGAGAGTCTTCGTAGGCATAGGGCCAACGATCATATCCCTTTTAGGAGGGGGTGTGGTGACTGCATAGCTGCTCAAGGTCGCCAGCGGAGTCATTGGCGATCTCGGATCACCACCTTGTACTCTTTGAGTGTCGACATTGCTGGACCGTTCAAGGATGGTCGCAGTTTTGACCCGATTGCGTCTGGCAGGGATCGTGGACGTGGCTATAAGTACTTCATTGCTGCAGCGTACTCGATACCCTTGAGTCCCGAGTTGCGACCTGATTTGAGTCCTCCTGATGATCTAGCTGAGTATTGTCCTTCTGAGTGTGAGCAAGAAGCTGCAGGGGTAGGACCTGTAGCCGATGAGGCGTCTGAGGATTGCTCTGAGTGGCTGGACGGGGTACATGAGCAGATTGCTGGAGGGTTCTCTAGTAAGGCCTTGTTCCGTAGGGTAAGAGGCAAGACGTTCCCTAGGGTTGATCCGTTACAAGACGGAGCTGAGTTTGCAGAAAGAAAGGCTCCTGGCCCTGATTTACCGGGGAACGCTGCAGACGGGGCAGAAGAGGAGCCGAAAGTCGTCACGAAAACCCTTTTTCTTGGGATTCCGTTGCGCACCAAGCGTGGCTCTGAAGTCATGGGACAGGTTCAAGCTCTGGTCAACAGGTTGGAGTCGTTTGGGTACCCTGTTCACCGCTACTTCGCAGACCGTGCTAAAGAGCTGAGGAGCCATGCTTTGATTCAGTGGCTTCGAGAACGCGGCATTCGTGCCTCATTTACCGCAGGAGAGGATCCTGCTGGAAATAAGGCAGAGGTCAGTGTCCAGCGGTTGAAGCAAGATGCCAGGAAACTCCTTCGCGTTGCCGATCTGCCAATCGAGTTTTGGCCATTTGCTATTCTTCATGCTTCGCAAAGACACTTTGTGCAAATGGCTGAGGCTTTGGGTGTGGGACAGGCTGTCCTTTTACCGTTTGGGGTATGGTTGCATGCGCGAAAGCGTTTGAAGTCGGGTCATAAGAAGCATTGGGAGACACGAACTGTTCCGGGCAAGTACCTGGGGGTTGCAACTGATTGTGCTGGTGGGCACCTGGTGTTAATCCAGGATGGGTCCGAGCAGCGTGTTTTGCTAACCAACACTGTCTACCCTGTTGATCCTTTGACAGTCCCGAAACCCAAGTTTCGTTTGACTACCAAAACCCCGCCGGGTTTTGCTGTTCGGGCTGTGGCTGCTAAGAGCGCCAGATGGCCAACCGGCCGCTCTTCTGTTGCCAGGTTTGCACCTGGGGGGGAGTGCGTTGGGTGTTTGAGAGATTTCGAAAGTTCTGAGGGGCCGAAGTTTGAGACCGGGCTTGAATCAGGGTCTTCCAGTCTTTCCGAAGAGGCTTCAGATGGGGATCTTGGTGTAACTACGGATGAGGAAGGGTTTCAAGAACTCCAGGTTGATGGTACGACCGTGAAGCTTCTCTTTGGAGATTCTGGTGTTTGGCTGGGAAATAAGCTTGAGACTGGTGACTACAGCACGGTTGAGGCATTAGAGGTGCTTAGAAGGTGTGCTGACAAGCTTCCTCCTCCAAATCGAAGGGTATTGGGTGGAAAAGGTAGGTGTGCTGTGATGGGGTTGTACAATCAGGGGGGTTTTCAAGGCGTGTCGAGGTTCGCCAAGGATCATGGGGATCTTGTGCGTTACTTGAACAAGTTTGTTCGAGCTCAGGGTTGCGAACATCCTTACACTACCCTGTACCTTACTCGTAACACCTCTACCCCTTTGCACCAGGATGCTAGAAATGAAAGAGTGGTACCGGTTTGGGTGATTGCTCTTGGGGAGTTTCAAGGAGGTGGCTTGTGGGTTGAAAGTTCCGATGGCCAGGGTCCTGTTTTAAGACAGTTGCCGGGGGGTGACTTAAGGGCTGGTTTTGTCAGGGATATTCATGATAACCCGTGCACCTTTAGTGGTCAATTGTGGCATTGCGCTGAACCTTGGTGTGGCAAGGATAGGTGGGTGATTGCTGCCTATGCTCCTCGGGGTACATGGAAGATTCTGAACGAATACGCTCGTGAGCTTGAGAGCTTGGGGTTCGATTCTAAAGGGTTGGATCACCTTTTCGCTGCAGAGCGTGCTTCGATTTCAAAGTTTAATGCTGAGGGTGATGAGGACTTGACCTCTGAGGGGCTTTGGGAAGTTGAGTTTCCTTGTGAAGTGTTGAAGCCTGGTTGGCGTGAGCACGTTTTAAGAAATCACCTGTCCTCAGCTTTGGCGTGTAAAGTCCTTGTGAAGGAGCTTAGCTGTTTTGGAAATGATGATGTAGGCTACGAATTGATTCGGACCTTGAAGTCGGTTGAATGCCAGCGCGAGTGGTATGAGGGACTTCTGTGGGATGACTTTGTCAGGAATTCTGGGAGTATGTTAAAGGCTTTGAATCAGGATGTTCCTCTGAACCCGGAAGACCAAACCAGCCCTGCCGAAGCTTTTCTCCAAACGAGGACAGTAAGCTTAGCTGAGGCAAAGGGTGAATTGGTGCTATGGATACCTTCGGCTACTGAGGAAGTTGTCTCTTTGGAACAAACGAATGAGGCTGTTGAGCGCATTGTCGTGTCGGACATTGAGCGGTTGATTCAAGAAGGAAAAAGGGTAACCCAGGTTCCAGGAAAGGCAGTCCTAACCAGGAAGGCTGGTGTTGGGAAACGCCGATTCAGGTGTGTCGCGTGTGGGAACTACATCCCCACTGGCTCTCCTGATTCCAACAACCTTTATGCGAGTGGCGTTGAAAGCTTGACTGTCAGAACGGCATTAGGTTTTGCTGCTTACCGTGGTTGGGCAGCTTTGAGCGCCGACATAAGGACGGCCTTCCTTCACGCGCCGTTGGACGGCGAGCTTGAGTCCGAAGAAATTATCGTTGTCAGGCCTCCATCTATTCTTGTAGACATGAAAATTCTTTCCCCGAATCATCGATGGCGCGTGCGTAAAGCACTGTATGGGTTACGACAAGCTCCCTTGGCTTGGGCCCGGTTCCGAGATAAGTCATTGCGGGTGCTGACCTTTCAGTGTGACGGTGCATGGTATGCCTTGCAGCAGGGTGTCAGTGATGATTCGCTTTGGTTCATCACTAAAAGCGAGATTGCCGAGGATGACACTGAGCGTTGGCATGGTATCTTGATCATTTACGTTGACGATCTTTTGGGTTTCGCTTCATCGGTGATCCTTAGTGCCCTTTTCGATGAAATACAGAAGCTGTGGAAGCTTTCGGAACCCGAGTGGATTCGGGAGGAGGCTGCCACTAAGTTCTGTGGGTTGGAAATCCAGGCCCTACAACGAGGAGGGTATCACATATCGCAGGTTTCCTATTTGCAGGAGCTTTTTGCAAGATACGACGTCACAAGCAGTGCAAGTGCGCCCTTGAGTAATTGGACTGATCCGGAAAATGAGCAACAGGTGCAGTTGGAGACTGTCCGGAAGGCGCAAGCCCTGACAGGTGCTTTGCTTTGGGCTTCGTCGAAAACCAGACCCGATATTGCTTTTGCTGTCAGTAAACTTGGGCAATATGCTGTGAAGGCGCCAAGCATTGTGATTGAGAGCGGGCATCAAATCCTGCGCTACTTGTATGGTACGGCGGACCTGTGGCTGGAATACCAGAAGCCAAGCGACAATTCCTGGCTTGACGCTCCGGTTCCTCGAACTTTAAATACTCTGGAGTTGTACACCGACGCTTCCCATGCCCCTAACGGGGGGCGATCTTGCCAAGCGATGGTCATCCTATGGGGAGGAAATGTGTTATGCTGGGAATCCTGTCGTCAACCGTTTGTGACTCTGTCCTCTACGGAGGCAGAGCTAGTTGCAGTCACCGCCGGAATAGTTGCTGCAGAATCAATTGGGGGCATCATTGAGGAAATGATCGAGTCCGACATCACGGTCTCTGCCTTGTGTGATAACCAGGCAGCGGTAAGGTCGTTTGCTGTTGGAAGTCTCGGGTGGCGTAATCGACATCTTCGCATGAGAGCTGCAGCTGGGCGTGAACGTATAGATGCGGGATCTCTAGTAGTCACCTATGTTCCAGGATCGATTCAGCTCGCAGATATAGCTACGAAACCACTGTCTCGAGCTAGGATTCTTCAGCTTGCGGAACTAATGAATATGCGAATGAGACTTTCGCCAGCTGGGGCAGATGATTCGATCCGTACAGTCAGCAGGTTGTCTTCCAGCTTCGGATCCCAGGGATCTGTCTCTCCCCGGACCTTAGCGGGTCTTGCATTGGTTGCTGTGTTGTCTGGTGTCCGAGCTCAACCGGCATTGCGAGTTGAAGAAAGGATTGAATGGATTCTTTGGTTCTTCGGAGTTTTGGTGGGTTTGGTTTTGCTTGCTTGGGCTCAGTGGTTCCTTGGTTTAGGTTTCAGAGGCTTTTGGCGGGGGGAACAGTTGCGGGAATTAGTAGGCGATGCTGTCAGTCTTGGGGGTTTGGAGTTTGCTGCCGAGGCTCAACAGGACTTCGGGGTTGGAAATGAGGTTTCCCTGGCTTCTGAAGTTGAAAGTAGGGCTGGTTCTGAAGGTGATGGGTCTGAACAGTTCTCTGAAACTGAATTGCTGGAGGCGCAGCGCAAACTTCAGGAACGGGAGCGCAGCAGTCAGCAGGTTCCTCCAACTCCCGATGTGCAGATTGGGGGGAGCAATAGCAGTCAGCAGGTTCCTCCAAGTCCCGATGTGCAGATTGGGGGGAGCAATAGCAGTCAGCAGGTTCCTCCAAGTCCCGATGTGCAGATTGGGGGGAGCAGTAGCAGTCAGCAGGTTCCTCCAAGTCTCGGTGTGCAGATTGGGGGGAGCAGTAGCAGTCAGCAGGTTCCTCCAAGTCTCGATGTGCAGATTGGGGGGGGCAGTCGCAGTCTGCAGGTTCCTCCGAGTGGTGTTGAAAGCTTGACTGTAAGAACGGCATTAAGCCTTGCCGCTTACCGGGGTTTGGCAGCTTCGAGCGCCGACGTACGGGCGGCATTCCTTCACGCGCCGTTGAACGGCCAGCCTGAGTCCGAAGAGATTGTCACTGCGCAGTCTCCATCCATTTCCGTGCTGAATCTCCTTGACTTAGAAGATGACCCTACTCCAGATGATAGGCCCCATAGAGCTGTAAGTCCCCGGGTTCCTGTAGAAGGTCAATTTTTCCTTGGGGAAGGGTGGTCTTCTTCTGAAAGCGAAAGCGGAGATTCGACAACTGAGCCGTCGATATTTTCTGTGTCTAGCGGAGATGCTGCTGTCGATGAAGAAGTATGGGTTATTCATGATGCCGAGGCCAGACTTGCCCAGGCAGACGAGCCACAACCTTTAGGAGTGAACTTCCGAGCTGGGCATGAAGTGCTAATAGGGACCTATGCTGACGACGAGGTTAGTATAGCGCTTCAGGGATGGTCCCAGGCTGAGGTTGAGACTATTGTTACCGGGCTGAATGAGGGTGAATGGACGTCGTTTCATGCAATGCTGGCACAGACCAGCAATCAAGAAAGTCAGAGTTCCACTCAAGTTCAGGGTTCGCAAAGTGTGGTTTGGGTCGTCGGGGTCGGGGTCGGTTTATCTCTTGTTGGGGCATTCGTTCAGTTGTGGAGCGTTAGTTTTGTGGCGTGTTGGTTCTTGCTGCTTTGGTGTAGGAGTAAGGGGGATTTTGCAGGGACTTTTGGGAGGATTTGGGGTGTGCGGCCAAGGAGTGATAGGCGCTGGGTCGTACTTCTCTATGTTCTCTGGTTAGTCCTGGGCGGCATTCTTCCTAGTTCTGCAGAGGTAGTAACCTATGGGGATGAACCGGTTTCTTTCGGCAGGTGGGATGAACCGACTGGTAGCTCCACTGGGGTTGGCGATGTGTGTCTGGAGGATGAGCAAGGGTCTAGCTCTGAAGAAGCCGGGAGCTGGGACTGGTGGCTGTGGGTTGCCTGCGTGATTGGAATCTGGGAAATCGTTCGTGCCTTATCTCTTCGTGTGTGCAGAAGTAGAAAGACAGTGCAGGATCAGGCAGTCAGCGCCGAAACGGTGCCGTGGCCTTTGCATCCAGGTATCCCTCACCGAGCGAACATCTTGTACTGCTACTGGCGTGCAGGATACGTGTTTGACGTACAAGAATATCCTGAAGCGGTTCAATCACGATTTTATGGCCTCCTAGGCTCTCACCTTGAGAGGCGTGACAGAGATGGCTTGTCCTCCACAGACTCTTCTGATTGAACTGATTTTGGGGCATTCTGAATAAGATCAGCGGTGTCCTAAGTTGCGGATGCTGGCAACTGCCAAAAAACCAAAGGAGACGAAGACTATCAGCTGTTATCTCCAGAATATCTGGGCTTTTAATCCTCATGAAGCTAAGTCTTGTGGGGGGTGTAGGATCATAGCTATAGTTTTCGGTCTCTGCTTGCATGCGTGGATGCCTCTTGATCCGACATCGAACTGCTCCAAAGGAGAAAGGGCTGCCGAAACAGAACGGCCTGTTCGAAATAGGGTCAAACATTTGTACAACGAGGCTTTTGTCCACTTTTGCAACCAAAGGACGATCCATCTGGGCTCGGGCATATAGAATGCTGATGTTTTCCTGGTGATGCATTCCAATCACCTGAGTCTTGGAGTCTCAGGTGAGGGGGAGTGCGTGAAGCATCCTGGCCGCTCAGGTGGAGACGTTGTTGCGTTACCGAGGCTGTCTTTTGTTCGAAAAAATCGAGGCGCGATCCGAGGGTCTAGGATTCAGACTTAGGCTGCCTAAGCTTTCTGGTCCCCGTAGGGTTCTGTATTTCACGTACTAAACCCTAAACCCTGAACCCTAAACCCTAAACCCTAAACCGAACAGCTACGAACCTTGAGGTGTTGGTGAAGCATGGCTTGGCAAGGCTTCGGGGTGTGGCCCCTGGAAACACAGGTATAGTACCCAAAACTACAAAGGATTCTCCTGCAATAGGCCCTAAACCCTAAACCCTAAACCCCAAACCCTAAACCCCAAACCCCAAACCCTAAACCCTAAACCCCAGAATCCCCTAAGCCCCTAAACCCCTAAACCCCAGAATCCCCTAAACCCCTAAACCCCTAAACCCCGTGGGAGTCCTTCTGCTCCTCCCGGCACTCCTGGGTCGAACTGAGCATATTCGGGCGCTACAAGGTCTGGTTAGTTGGGGTTCGGGGGTTCAGTTAGGGTTCAGGGGTTTAGTTAGGGTTTAGGGGTTTAGATAGGGCTTAGGGGTTTAGCTAGTGTTCAGGTAGGGTCTAGTTAGGGTTTAGGGGTTTAGTTAGGGTTTAGGGGCTTAGTTGTGGTTGGGATCGGAGTCCCTGAGGGCCCTCAATACTCCCTTATTTGCTTTGTGAGAATGGGGTCTCACCATATGTATATGTAGATATGTGTATATATATATATACACATTTATATATACATATACACATATGTGTGTGTGTGTGTATATGTATATCTATATATATATATATATATCTCTCTCTCTCTCTCAATCTCTTGAAGGTCGGGTCGCGTGGATTTGAAGGTATTGGGCTGATCTCTGGGCTCTCCTGGTGGCTCATCCTCTCGAGCAGCCGCCGCAATGCCTCCACCTCTGGCCACCTGGGGCGGTCAGCCGGCCGGTTTAGGGTTTAGGGTTTAGGGTTTAGGGTTTAGGGTTTAGGGTTTTTAGGGTTTTTAGGGTTTTTTTAGGGTTTTTTTAGGGTTTTTAGGGTTTTTAGGGTTTTTAGGGTTTTTAGGGTTTTTAGGGTTTTTAGGGTTTTTAGGGTTTTTAGGGTTTTTAGGGTTTAGGGTTTAGGGTCGCTCAGGGCTTTCCAAATTATGTATAGGGTTCTTATGAGAGGGGGGGTTCATGGGGAGTTGGTACTTAGGGAACCTTAGAGAAGCTTAGGGAGGTAGTAGGGAGTATTAGGGAACCTTGGGATACGTAAGAACCCTCGGCGTGCTTGTGTGTCTGCGGCTGGGCGGCTGCTGCAGGCTTATGTGCATGGGCTGGCCCTCCATGGCTTCCACGCGCTCGCTCAGCAAGCATGGGTTTCATGGTTCAGGGTAAGGTTTAGGTTTGAGGGTTAAGGGTTTGGGGTTCCCAGCCTCTCCAAAAACCAAAGCGCCTAGAACCCAAAACCCTCAAAAGCCGAACCCCCCCCCCCCCCCAACTCTCAAAAGCCTTAAAAGCCTTAGGGGCCTTAAAACCTTCCTAAGGACAGAAACCGAAACCCCAAGCCCTGGGGGGGGGGGGAGCACAGGGACAGCAGGGTGGAAACCCTAAACCCCAAACCCTAAACCCTAAAATCCCGAAAACCCTAAAAAGCCTAAACCCTAAAAACCCTAAACCCTAATGGAAGAAATTCTCTGCACCTCCCCCCGCCCCTACTCTCAACCCTCGCCAATGGGTTTGGGGTTTACGGTTTAGGGTTCCCCCTGCAATATTCAGTATTCACGTTGAACCCCTAGAGACCTTGTTAAGCCCTAGAGGCCCTAAATCCAATGAAGCCCCGAACTCTAAACCCTCAGACCGTTCGGGGCTGGGTTTCGGCCTTAGGGTCAGATAGCAACAGGCCGAAAGGCTGTTGGCGCTCGGTCTCGTCGTCGCTGTCCTATGCACAGCTCCCTATCAGACCCTAAACCTTAAACCTTAAGGAGTATGAGGAGATCTTAGTCCCATATATAAGCCCCATATATACCCTTGTCTAGTCACATCGTCCCTATGTACCTAAGTAGCCCCCGTAATAACGCTTAAAGAACCCCTAGGGCCCCTGATAAGGGTCCTTCGTTTAGTCCCTTGAAAACCCAAATTACCCTAAACCCTGAACCGTGCAAGCTCAAGATCCCACGACATGGGCAGTTCTCAGAAACAGGGGTCTAGGGACCCCTGAAAGGGTTTAGGGTTTAGGGTTTAGGGTTTAGGGTTTATCCGGTCTACTACGCAGCCTATTTTCTGGTCTCAAGTGAGCTCAAGACGTCTGCGGTAATTACGTCTACTCCCTGTTTAGGGGCAGGGAAACGACAGAACTCCAGTCAAGGGTCTAATGAAAGGACCTAAAGGGAAGGGTCACGCGGACTCGGCGCTCTACGGAAGACTGCAAAAGAGGATAGATTTCACACCCGTCTTAGCTACCAGACGCGTGATCTGACTTAAATTAGACAGTAGGAGAAAGAAAGAATCCACAGTTCTATGACTGGACTCAATTCGTCACGTCATTTCTGCGGGGTGTATACGTAATGTACCGAAACATCGCAATGGCCTCCATTGGGATAGAAATGTCCGTAGCCTCTGCATCTTCCGCATACTCGTCTCATAGAGCAAGGGAATGCAAGTAGGGCTTAGGGTTTCGGGTTTCGGGTTTGGGGTTTAGCCTTGAGGGGTTTGCCTCTTCCAACTTGATCACAGAGCAAGCTGTCGTCTCTGAGTCTTTCAGTGTACCAGGGCACTCTCCAGGCAGGTTTGCTGGCCGAGGCGGACAGGCGCTAAACCACAAAAGCATAACATCTAAACCCTAAACAAACCCCAAGGGTTTGGGGAAGGACCCCAAATGTAGCTGATCGCAAGTCAGCTTCGTCCTCGTTTCCAGCTGAGTCTGCCGACCCCTCCTGACAGCAAGCGCATGGCCAGTGGATGTTGTGGCATCAGAACAATCAACATAAGTAAGCAGGATAATAACAACAAAAAAACAACAAAGATTTATAATGGTAATAATAACAATAAAAACATTAACCATCAATAATAGTAGTAATAATAATCATAACCATACTCGAAATCATAGTCATAATCATAACACTGCTAATCATCATAACAATAATTAGTAATCATGAGAATACGAATAGCAATAGTAATACCAATCATAATGACTCCACAGTTGTTAATGCAGCATGAGTCTTACGAGGCAGCTTGCGGGTTTAGGGTTTAGGGTTTAGGGTTTAGGGTTTAGGGTTTAGGGTTTAGGGTTTAGGGTTTAGGGTTTAGGGTTTCGGGTTTAGGGTTCCGAGTTGCAATGGACCTGGAGTTTGTTCCTTTGTTTTTTTCTGGGGGGGATAGGACAGGGGCCTGTTTAATTAGCACGAATGCTTTGGGGACTTGGCATTTGCAAATGCAAAGTTATGCTAAGGGCAGAAAGTAATGGGAATTACTTACGCTCTGATCGTCCCCTGTTCGTTCGTCCTTGCGTTGTCGAAGCTCGCTCTCGAAGTGCGCGTGTCGGCAGTGGCTGCCCATCTGGCACCTCCCGTATCTGAAGGAAGTGCACCTGGTAGGAAAGGCTAGGGCGCGATGCGGTCTTGGGTTTGGGGGGTTCAGGGTTTAGGGTTTATGCCCAGCATCCATGCTGGGAAGAAGCGTCCGGTGCAGCGTATGTCATGGTAAGACAAGAAGAAGAAGAAAAAGAAGTAGAGAGCCATTGCAGGGTAATCGCAGGAGGAATCTATCAGCACACCGGCGAGAGAGGAGGCGCAAATGTCGTCAATCCGACCCCTTTCTTTGGGGCTACGCAGAGCACTGGAGTTTGGGGTTTAGGGGTTTCGCCGGAACCTGCAAGTCCTGCAGCCCAGGGCACATCGATGTCTTGTAGACATCCTCCGTACTACGAAGCCTTAGCCGTTCGGGCTGCTGAAGCAGGGAGCGTCAGGAATTGAGCGTCATTGCTTCCACATGACAGCGGACCAAGTTCTCCACTTCTGCGCGAGATGATCCCAAGGGTCCATGCTCTTAGGGCTGAGGATGGTTCAGGGGCTTGTAGGGGTCCATGCTCTTTGGGGGTTTTAGGGTGTATTGGGTTTAGGGTGTAGGGTTCAGGGTTTAGGGCTCAGGGATAAGGGGTAAGGGGTCCACGCTTCCCACAAGCGCGCCATCTGGCCTCACGAGGGTTGCAAGTCAGGCTTGAGGGTTTGCGAGGGTGCGCGGTTGACGTCGGGAGTATCAGAGGAATGCGATGAGAAGATCCTGCAGGCCAAAAGGCTTCCCTCAAAACCCCCCCAAACCCCCCCAAACCCCCCCAGGGCCTTAAGGTTTTCCAGCCCTTCAGTGATACCCCGAACAGGGCTTTCTTTGCAGCTCGGTGAGCTCGTCCCTGCTGTGGGCGAAGGTGCACTTCGGATCATTGCAGCCCTCTCCTCGGTGGCAAAGAAAGTCACCCTAAACCCTAAACCCTAAACCCTAAACCCTAAGCCCTAAGCTCTAAGCCCTAAGCTCTAAACCCTAAACCCTAAACCCTAAACCCTAAACCCTAAACCCTAAACCCTAAACCCTAAACCCTAAACCCTAAAACCTAAAACCTAAACCCTAAACCCTAAACCCTCACCCTAAGCCTCGGCTTCCTCAGACTGCGATGGGGGCATGCGGGCGGGGTTTAGGGTTTAGGGTTTAGCGATCAAACAATACAGGAGCCTATGGGGCCGTTACTTGGGATGTTGTCCTTCATCGGGAGTATCACAGGGGGTGCTATAATCCCTATGAAGGACTGACAGTATAAGGGGGGGGGAAGGGGGGGGGGGGGGCACACCCCCAGTCATTGCTCTAAATTGTCCCGTGTGGGTACCCTAAATAATCGGGGCCGCCTTACAAGAAGGACCCTAATGGAGACCTAAAGTTCGAGAACTGCCACATGACTGCCAGTGGTATTCCCTTGTAGGAGTAGCTAGAGTAAAAACTTGGGATGTTCCCCCTGATACTAACAGTCCTTACTAGGGAATTTTAGTTAGTAAGGACTATTAGCATAAAGGGAACATGCCACATAGAAACTACCAAGAACGACCATTCTAACTAAGAGAGCACCAACACCCTCTTTTTGGGGCTGGTGACTTTATGCGGGAACCTTGAACCCCGCCCCACTCACACAAAAAAAAACATGGGACAGGGCGCCACTGAGCTACCAAGAACCCTGCACTAACACCCTAAACCCAAAACCCTAAACCCTAAACCCTGAACCCTGAACCCTAATTGAGCTACCAAGTCGCCACTGAGCATCTTGCGGCAAAGTGCTGTCTTGGTGAGATCTGGTCCCTCGTGGCGCCTGAAGAGCACAAGAAAGCTCACCAAGCCACTCCTCTGCGGGCTTGGAGGTTCATGGTACTTATTAACCAATTGTAACTGCACTTACAACCCACTTATAAGCCCCTTAAGTGCCGTAATATGGATACAAGTACAGTTTATAATTGGTGAATAAGTACCATGAACCTCCAAGTAGACCTCATGCCGGACAAGATTGTGAATCTCAGGCTGGGACTCTGAGTCCCCGTGGGCATACTTGCAGCCAGCTCCTCTGACGCAACGTCCCTGACCGGGAGCAGCAATAAAAAGCCGCGCTGGGTGTTCGGGTGCTAGGGTTTAGGGTTTCGGGTTTAGGGTTTGGGGTTTAGGGATCGGCCGGGTTGGTGCTAGGCAGTTTAGGGCTTAGGGCTGAGGGGCTCAGCGTGCCGCGTCTAAGCAGGCTTCATCTTCAGATTGGAAGCACTCGGCTTGTACTTCAAGGTCTCAAGGTCGAGAGTTGAGGGTTCTCCAGCATGGATGACACAGAAGCCGTCCATCACACACAGCTCAAGGCCTCTTGATCTAAACCCAAAACCCTAAACCCTAAACCCTAAACCCTAAACCCTAATCAGGGTTTAAGGTTCAGGGTTTTTGGGCGAAATTTTCGATGCCTCGAGCCAGAAGGTGCAGATCTTCCTCAGCTCTTGGCGCAGGGGGCGGCTGCCGAGGGTTGGGGGCTCAACCCTCAACACTCCCTGAGCCCTAAACCCTAAACCCTAAATCCTAAACCCTACCCTAAACCCTAAACCCTAAACCCTAAACCCTAAACCTTCAACCCTAAATCGCGGCCCTAAGCCCTAAACCCCCCGACGAAGCCGATGGCCTGAAACAGCCGCTGGACTCACCCTCCCAAAACCCTGAAACCTAAACACTAAACATGTCTACGAATTGCTTAAGAACCCCCAACAAACAAAGAATATTCTTTCTTAATTCTTTCTTACAAGGGTAATCCAGGGATTATTATGTTTTTTTTTGTTTGTTGGGGGTTCTTAAGCAATTCGTAGATGTGAGATCGCCCTCAGCAGCCAAGAAGCGTCTTGAAGAAAAGCCTTGGCTGGAGGAAAAGCTTCTCCACTTCTGAAATATGCTTCAGCAGGTTTACGGTTGAGGGTTTGCGTGGTCCTTACAGGGCGTCGTATAGAGTAGGGCCCCAAAAACCTAAATCCTAAACCCCGAGCCCTAAACCCCTATATAATCCTAAACCCAGCTACCCATGTCACTACAGAAGTAAGCGTACTGGAATCCCTCCAGATTGGTCCGGAACACGAATCTGGGTCAGAAATCACAACGCTTAAATGCCGATGCATGTGCGCACGTTGGCAGACCCTACCTTAACCAAACCCTGAACCCTGAACCCTAAACCCTAAACCCGAAACCCCTAAACCCCTAAACCCCTAAACCCCTAAACCCCTAAACCCCTAAACCCTGAACACCAACCTTTCAGACCAGAAGCGACTCTAGACGGTAGTTGGGCTTGCCCGTGTCGACCTCCGCACATGTCCGGAGCTCCGGAGCTACGCTTTTCGGTGCTTTTTTGGTTTAGGGTTTAGGGTTCAGGGTTTAGGGTTTAGGGTTAAGGGTTAAGGGTTGAGGGTTTAGGGTTGAGGGTTTGGGGTGTAGGGTTTGGGGTTCTTCTGGACCTAACAAGTACAATCGAGTAGAGGGCTGAGTTTAAGGGCTTCCCAAAGCCAAACACCAAACCTTAAACCCCAAACCCCACACCCCAAACCCCAAACCCCAAACCCCAAACCCCAAACCCCAAACCTTAAACCCCAAACCCCAAACCCCAAACCCCAAACCCCAAACCCCAAACCCAAACCCCAACCCCAAACCCTAAACCCTACCCCCTAAACCTTACCCCTAAACCCTATTGCGGCGGAAGGGTTGAAGGGTCTAAGGCTTGGAACTTGCTTAGGCGTTGAGGGTTTGAAGGCGTTGGGGATTAGGGTGAAAGGGTCTTGTGTTTAAGGGCCTCGGCTTTCGAGCCCTAAACCCTAAACCCTAAACCCTAAACCCTAAACCCTAAACCCTAAATCCCTAAACCCGAATTAAACCCTAAACCCCAACCATCTAGCTGCACAGAGACGCTGGACACCCTCCAACCTGCGCAGCTGCCTGCGCAGCAGCCTGCGCACGGACCGCTGCCCCTGCGCGGCAGCCACGCTTGCGCGTGCCTGGAAGACCTGAAGAAAAACTTAGAACCCTGATGTCCCATGAAACAAACAAAGCCGAGGCATTGAGGGTTTGTTTAGGGTTTAGATTGTACAGCTTTCGGGATATAGGGTTCAGGTGGTAAGTGTGAAACACTCATTCCCAACAGCCCACGGGCCATCAACCCCCCCTCGCCCTTCCCTTCCCATCCCCTTCCTATCCTCTTGCCATCCCCTTTCATCCCCCCCCAAAAAATTGAAAAATGACTATGAACCTAAAACCTAACGCCTCTTCAGAAAAGAGGAAATGGGGAAAGGATGACCCAGAAACCGCCCTTCACAACGAGGAAAGCCCAAGCCCTAGCACTGAGCAAAAGGCTGGGAAGGAGAAAAGAGCCCCAACACCCCAAAAACCCAAAACCACTAAAACCCCAAAACCCTGTCTAACCCATACTAAAAACACCAAAAAAGCCCCTAAACCCTAAACCCTAAACCCTAAACCCGAACCCTTAAAACCCCCACAACGCCAAAGCCCCAAAGCCCCAAAACCCCAAAACCCCAAAACCCCAAAACCCCACAACCCCAAAACCCCAAAACCCCAAAACCCCAAAATCCCAAAACCCCAAAACCCCACAACCTCACAATCCCAAAACCCCAAAACACCCCAAAAACCCCAAAACCCCACAACCCCACAACCCCAAAACCCCCAAAATCCCAACACCCCAAAAACCCCAAAAACCCCGGGGACGGCACGGCTCGGTGGAGCCGTGGGTGGTGCATCCATTGGCAGTGCGGAGAATCCGGAGAGCGGCTCGAGGTCGCGTCCTTTGTCAATTAAGGGTTTAGGGTTTAGGGTTTGGGGTTTAGGGTTTAGGGTTTAGGGTTTACGGGATTTAGGGTTTAGGGTTTGGGGCTTCGGGTTCTTGAAGTTTAGGGTGCTTGGAGTTTGGGGCTTGGGCTATTAGGGCTTAGGGTTTAGAGCCTAGGGGTTAGGGATGAGGGTTCTGTTGAGGGTTGTTGTACAGGGCACTTAGGGTTTTAGGGTTTCGGATTTTAGGGTTGCCGGCGTCGCATTTATAGGGCGTAGGGCGCTTAGGGCTTTAGGGCGTCAAGGGTCTAACCCTAAACCCTAGACCCTAAACCCCTAAACCCTAAACCCTAAAGGCTCTGGAGCCTAGGCGGAGCGGGTGGGGGGGGGGGGGGGGGTTGAGGGGCTTCATCAGAGTACTCACCTGCAAGGATGTAGCCTTGGGCTCGTTAAGTCCCCACACCCCCCCCCCCCCCCCCAAATCGCCCCAACCCCACTCGCCCTTCCCCCCAAAATGGCATGCAGACATACATATATATATATATATATGTATGTATGTATATTTATTTAGTTATTTATATTATATCATAAATGTGGGTGGGACCTTTTACGGTACGTTTTGCTAAGTTTTCAGATTCATGATTTGCAAAATCTAAAGATATGTATATCTACTGAAATCTGATTCGTGGTCATCCCTTGACCTTATTGAGGCCCCCCCAGAGGTCTGGAAGAGAAACGCCTGCCGAACTCTCCAAGACTCAACGCTGCAGAACATGACATGGGGTTTAGGGTTTAGGGTTTAGGGTTTAGGGTTTAGGGCTTAGTGTTTAGGGTTTAGGAGACTCCCCTGAAAGACCGGGAGGCACATGGCTTTGCGAGACTGACTTTCCCTTCGGCTTGCCCTGCCGTACACTGCAAGACCCAATGCTGCAAAACATGACATGTGGAGATTTTCTGGAAGACCGGAAAGCACATGTTTTGCGAGACTGACTCCCGCTTGGCCTGCCCTGCCATACGGACCAGATTGGACCAAAGGGCCAGAGGACCAGAGGACCAGGGGACCCGAGCCACACCTCTTAAAGAAAAGAAGCCTGAGCCACACCTTTAAACAAAAAAACCTGGGCCCTCTATCCTCCCTTTACCCCAAACTCCGCTCCTCCCGCCGGAGAGCGGGCATCTTCTATTCCTGGGCTTGAAGGTCTCCCTAGCCTGCACCTTCCTTAGGAACCCTACAACGAGCACTCCAAAGCCCCTTGTTGTCCTGGCTTGCCGTCGAGAGTCTACGGCTCAGGGTGAATTAATGGGTTTAGGATGCAGGGTGCTTCACTCAGGTGTTAAGGGGCATAACTTTGACCACTGAACACCCCCGAATTCTCCCATGATGAGGAATGAGCGTGGCCCAGGGTACTTCAGAAGCCTCCCGAAACCCTAAAACTCCGAGGCCCAGAAGAAGCTCTCGGTTGGGCACCAGTCAGAGGATGCGAGTATATGGCAACCATAAACCGCACAAGAACAAGTATCCTAAACTCATACGACCTAGATCCAGACCCCTATCTACCCACCTGAGGAACTAAACCCTAAACCCTGAACCCTGAACCCTGAACCCTGAACCCTAAACCCTAAACCCTAAACCCCCGAGCCTTCGGAAGCCTTGCAGGCAACCGGGAAGCGAAAAGGGATGAAACCATGACACCACCCCCATGCGCGAACCCGAACACCCCCGCCCCCCCCCCCCCCCCCCAAAAAAAAAAAAAAAAAAACAAAAACACACACACACACACACACACAAACACACAACAAAAAAGCCAAAAAACAACTCTTCACCCTAAAGCCCCAAACCTAATCCTCAGGGGGGTGAAGGGGGGGTCGAGGGTAAGTGGCTGTTCATCCTCCAACACGGGCCAAGTAGCTTTCCCATGTTGGAGGCGCGTAGGCCATGGAGCTCTACACCCCAATGTTTTAAGGGCTACCTCGTTTTT